AACCCCCAGAGAATGGGATGGATCCATCCCAGACCCACCTTTAGCACCCAAAACACATGGGTTTTCCTCCTTTTTGGGGGCAGGAGAGGCTGCCATCCCTCCCTTCCCCAGGGAAGTTCCTCCTTTCAATCAAAAAAAATAAAAAATAAAAAAAATAAGCAAAGAACACCCCCCCCTCCCCACCCCAAAAAGGAGGAAGAGGAAATAAGTGAAGAAACCCTCCGGCTTGCGAAGAGGCAAAGGGGTTTTCAGTTGAGGGCTAAAGCAAACTTGCTACTCGCTTCAAATTTTCAAAATAAGTCTTTATTCTACTTTTTTTCTTTTTTTCTTTTTTTTTTAGTATAAAAAAAAAAATCCACAAGTTTTAAGTGCACCACAGTGTGTACAGAGAGAGAGAGAGATGTTAATGCCGGACGCGATAACAGTCAGTCGTATGGTTAAACACAACACATACAGGACACAGATCTCGATTCAACTGAAACCTCCAGATAAAATATATTTGAATCTGATAATTATTATTATTATTTTTTTCTTCATAAAACAAAACAACCAAAAAAAGAAAAAAAAAAAAGAAGAGCAAAACATTAAGGATCCCTGAAATATTCTTCTTAACCCCCTACTAAGACTTCATTACACCCGAGTCATTTGTAAAGTCCACGTTGAGGAAACAACTCATTAAACCGAGCTAATTTGTGTGTTTTGATTGATTGACAATCGCTCCACACCCTCGGACAGATGGAAACCAGCCCCTCTGGTTGAACAACAGCCTGAAGGAGTTCCTGGTGCAGAGACACCAGGTTGAGTTACACACACACACACACACAAAAAAACCCAAAAAATAAGTTTGTTTAATTAAGCATGGTTCTAAAAAGCCTCGTTAGCATCGAATGAAATGCTCGAAGATGAGTTGCATTGTGTTTCTGGCACCAAAGCATGGCTTTGATTAGGTCTAATGTGCAAAGAAATCCAAGATTACTTGGAGTGTATCAAAAAAATCCCAGGAGAGACGCCGGCTGCAGACCTTCCCGGATGGGGGGTGT